CTCTTGTACGTCACACCGCCGCTGTAATCTGATTGGCTGCTGCGCCGGCTGGCGGGGGCCGACACGAAATCTGATTGGCTGCTGCGGCGGCTAGCGCTGAAGTTGTAACTGTAATCTGATTGGCTGCTGCGCCGGCTGCTGAGGGCCGAGGCGTACTCTGATTGGCTGGTTCTTCCGGCGGGCACGCCCACAGCACTGACGTCAGACACGCTGCTCCGCCCACTGGCCGAGAGGAAGCTGACGTCTGATTGGCTGGTGCGCCGGGAGCTGCTGGCTATGACGTCATCTTCTGTGATGACGACAAACGCCTCGTCTGCCCGCCCCGTGACGTCACCACACACTGACGGCGGGGCTGACGTCACAGACTCCTCCCTGCTGCTGACGTCATCAGACGAGCCGGCAGCCGTGACGTCAGACTCATGCTTTCCCCACAGCTGGAGCAGACGATCCATGGCCGCTGCCTGGCCGCTCACTAGCCGTTCTCTAGCCGCTCTGTAACCGCTCTCTAGCCGCTCTCTGGCCGCTGTCCAACCGCTCCCTGGCCACTCTCAGCCGGCCTTATAAGGCACTTTCAACACAATCTAGGCTGGGGATGTGCCCTGGTTTATACGCAATTTTCAGCACAATTTGGGCTGTGTAAGGACCCTGAATACCTCTCAGAATTACTTATAAACGCCTCTTTTAACGAAATCTGGGATTTGCATATTATGCACTCATTTTATACACCACTTTCAACACCATTTGGGCTGTGCGTGTGTCCAGACTAATAAGCCACTTTCAACATAACCGTGGCTGTCTCTGCCTGGTTTATATGTTAATTTTCCTAATTGATTCTGCGCTGTGTATACGGCCGGACTTGTACATGTCAGCTTGACAACAGTCAGGACATTTCACTAAATAAATAAATAAATAAATAAATAAATAAATAAATGAATAAATGAATGAATAATGAGTGCATAAATAAGTAAAGAGAAAGCTGTCAGTAAGAGTTGTACGGCCCTTGCCACACAAAAAGGCCACAAAAGCGCCGAAGGTTATAATGTGTAACTAGAGAGTAACTGACAAAGTACAGAAGGAGGAGAGAGGAGGACGATGGATGTTCAGTACCACACTGGAGCACCCGCCAACCACCTGCTCGTGGTGAAACTGTGTCAGCACAGAGATGGAACAATCCGGCAACACACTACAAATCACACACCCCGCACCACGGCACCCAAACATAACTACACGTCATCGCGCAAACACAACTACACATCACCGCACCCAAACATAACTACACGTCATCGCGCAAACACAACTACACATCACCGCACCCACACATAACTACACTCTCTCTCTCTCTCTCTCTCTCTCTCTCTCTCTCTCTCTCTCTCTCTCTCTCTCTCTCTCTCTCTCTCTACCAAAGAAAAACCAACCCCTCTAACTCATCTTG